GAATGGTTGGAGGAGCAATTGCAGCCCTGTTTTGATAGTAAGCATGCGGACTGTCCTTGTCTCCAATAGCAGGCTGTGGCTGCTCCCTGTCTTGCTGCACCTTTTGCAGCTGCTCCAATTGCTGTCGAAGCTGTTCCAGCTCGACAGCCATGTTGTCATTGTTGCCTTGATTGCCCATGTTGGCTTGAATAGGCCTTTAACGCATGTTTTCTCGTTCGACTCTTGCTAGCTCGGTGTTCGACAAAGAAACAAGATCGGTGCAGTTGCTCCTTGTGGATATGTTTGACATACACCTGAAACACACGTAAACAAGAGAACAAGAGAAAAAAAAATTAGTAAAGTCTTAGTCTGAATTTTAAACCAAAAACCAAAGGTAACGAATTGGTCCCCGTCGCAACGGCGCCAAAATTTGATTCACACTGGATATACTCATAGTTTCTACTGCAATAGAACAGTGATGTAGTTGTAATATAAAGGATTCGGAATCCAGAGGACCAGTGCTACTCTATGACTTTGTGAGGATTGAATTAAAGCTAAGACAGATGATTTGCTGCGAAAACTAAAAAAAGTAAACAGAACGGCAAACAACGATTTAAATTCAATTTAAAACAAGCACTAGACCAAAGCAATTCGCAGGAATTTCAGAGATAAGAACCAGATGACTATTCAGGGCACAAGTGTAACACAAGTCTCGAACTCAAACAGAAAGGCTTATCGATCCACTGTCGTGATCTCGATAACTTTGTCTAACAACCTAAATCCTAAACTGTCGTTTGAACCTAGAAAATTGCAGACAAGCATTAGCTAGCAAGTTTGATCTGTTCACGATTTGCCTTAACTTCAACTGTCGTTGGCTAAGGACAAATCGCTCACCAATGTTTATTCTAGCAACCTATTACACTTTTGATGAATAGATTAACCTAAAATCGCAGATTGAGTGATCAATTCAACCTAAGCATTAAGTCTAACAATGGTGAAGACAATAGATATCAAGCCCTATTTGCATCTAATCCTTTAACTCATGAAATCCTTTGAACGCTTTAATCTAGCTAAGAGAACTACTCAGACATGGAGAAAATAAACACAGCAACAGATGAAAAGAAATTCATGAATTAAAATCGCAGAAGAGATAATAGGGTTCAGAATTCTTCTCAGAATGTAGCAGGAATTCTTCTCCCAATTGCTTACAAGCAGAAATCTCTCAAAACTAAAAGCGTAAAAAGTCTGTAGAAAAACGTGATAATAAAAGGTGGGTGGCTCTGGACTTTTTATTCTCTTTCTCATCCTAGAATTAGGTAAAAATTGTTTTCCTTATTTTTCTCCAGGCGGTTGGAGCAGGGGCTCCACGAAAGGGTAAAATCGGGAGCAGGTGCTCCCAACCAAGAATGATCCAACTTCGTGTAAATTGGCCTCTTTTGCTCAGTTTCAGCTCCTTTTTGCACCAAAAGCCCCAGCTGCTCCAAACCGTCGCCTTAAGCCTCCTAGTTACCTGAAATGACTTAACAAAGACTCAAAAGACTCTAAAAAGATCAGTAAACACAAGTTATAATGAGTCAAAATCTCCACTTATCAATTTTCTTTTAGAAGTAAAGGGTTAGGAAAATTTCCAAGGATCCCGTTATTTTACTTTTAAAAAGGAATGATCACACAAAAGGATAGAAGCGAGGGGTATGAATATTTCCCGTGACCCCATTATTCGCTACACCTTTGATATATAATGAAGGGACAAACCGGGGATTCAGTGGTAAACACCATCAGTACTCGCGTCTTTGAACCTTGTTATATATGCCTAAAAAAATAGAGAATGAGAAAAGAATAAGTCTGGGGGAGAGAAAAAGTATCAGAGATTGTAAAGTTGATTTGTCAAAATATAATACGGGAAAGAGTCTAGAAGGTTCTTGGCACTGGAACCATTGATGAGACCTAGCGATGAAGGCTTACGGACAATGTTGTAGAATTTTGGATCTAATCTGGAAGGCTGCAGAATGTCTGCGGATAAATACATGGTGGTTTGATTTGGATTGATCCAACAATATGTGGATTATAAGATGATCGGTCAGCATGATGTTACATAGAAAATTTTAGTCTCTGTGATTTTCAAACCTCTTTCTCTTACTTGGTTTTCTGTTTGCTTGAGGGCAAGCAAATGCTAAGTCTGGGGGAGTTGATATATCATGGTTTTTATGGTTTTAAACCATGATATAAGTTTTAGTTATAAAGTTTTTAAAGTGTTTTTCAAGTTTTTTGGAGTCTTTTCAGTTTTTAGGTGCGTTTGGAGCATAATTGGAGATTTTAGAGGATTTTGGAGCCAAACAAGGATCAGTTTCGGTGAAGGACGATTTATTACCCTTGGTGTAGCTCGACACCACTAATGGTGTCGCTCGACACCATTAGTGGTGTCGCTCGATACCAATGTTGTCAAAAGAATATATAGTGTTCTAAGAAGGCCCAAAAATTTCTAATATTTGCAAGAAGGTCCAGCTCGTGTTTTTAGCTTTATATTAGGTTTTTCCGCCACCTGTTTTTGGCCTACTTTTTATTTTTTATCGATACTTTTAAGAGCTTTTTGAGGGGGGACAACTCTGAGACTCTGTTCGTTTGAGAGAAGATTTCGAACCCTTGTTACTTAATCCTATTATTCTTTTCTGAAATCTATTCAATCATGTTTATTGCTTTAATTCCCATGTCTGAGTAGTTTGTTTGCTAGGTTTAGGGTTCTCATAAATGATCTCATTGGATGTTAGATAAGTTGATTAGTTAAAGTTCATAATCTGATTAGTTCTTCACTATAGGTTGTTCTTAAAGCTAATTCTTGACTGGCCACCTAGAACTTAGATCTTAGGTTAACTAATTGACACGAAAGTATAACTGATAATCTGACAAGACCAAGGGTGAGCAAAATAGCTATCCGCAAAAAATGTTGGTTTAGATATTTTATGAACAAATCAAACATGCGCTTAAAGCTTGTTTAGTCTTTAGATATTTTGCAAGAGCACATATATGCTTCTGGTGACATGTAACTCAGAGTAATGATGTTGCAGGATTGCAGGTGCAATGATGTTGCCCTCTCCATCAAGTTTTGCAAAACTTGATCTGCTTAAAGTTTAAGCGCTAGAGCTATTCTGCAAGAGCACAAATATATAATATTAGTACAATACGGTCGAACCATAGAGACTAGAGATTCACTCAATAATCTAACTAGGCTTGAATTACGCCAAGTAAAAACAGTGAAATTGAATGCAGCAATGAAGTATTTAAAACGGTTGTAAAATCAATGAGAAAGTATTAAGCCTAGTGTATTTTTCAGGAAATCAGAGAATGAAGATAAATCGATTAATCATGATTCAGGTTTTTAGCGCGGTTTTGAACTCAAATCACGAAATTATAATTAACCAATTTTCGTTGCGAGAATTATCTAAGTCTAAATCTCATAACTCCAAATTTCTTTGCAAATCTTAAAGACTAAACAACTTTTAAGCACAGGTTTGATTTGTTCACAAAATATCGAAACCAAATTTCTTTATGGATAGCTAATTTTCTCACCCTAGATTTTGTCAGATTATCAATTACATTTTCGTGTCATTCAATTAATCTAAGATCTAAGTTCTAGGTGACCAGTCCATAATTAGCTTTAAGAACAACCTATAGTAAAGAACTAATCAGGTTATGAACTCTAACCAATCAACTTATCTAACATCCAATGAAATCATTTATGAGAACCCTAAACCTAACAAACAAACTACTCCTACATAGAAATTGACATAATAAACATGATTAAATAGATTACAAAAAAGAATAATATAATTAAATAACAAGGGTTCAAAATCTTCTCTCCAACGAACAGAGTTTCAGACTTGTTTCCCCTAAAAAAAACTCTAAAAAAAGTAAGTCAAAACAGGTGGCTGAAAAATATAATATAAAGCTAAAAACACGGGTGGCTGAAAAATATAATATAAAGCTAAAAACACGAGTTGGGCTTTCTAGCAAATATTGGAAAATTTTGAGCCTTCTTAAAACACTATATATTCTTTTGACAACATCGGTGTCGAGCGACACCATTAGTGGTGTCGAGAAGGTAATAAATCGTCCTTCATCAAAACTAATTCTTGCTTGATTCCAAAATCGTCTAAATTTTCAATTGTGTTCCAAACGTACCTAAGACAAAAACTTCAAAAGATTTGAAAAATACTAAAAAACTTTATAACTAAAACTTATATCATAGTTAAAAACCATAAAAACTATGATATATCAATAGTTTAAAAAGAATTTAGACAGATTTGATTGTTTTGGTGGAGAATAGATCGTTTTCCCACTAATATTATACGGATATAGTTTGACAATCCATGATAAACTACCCGCCTTTAGAATATTATTTTAGCAACTTAGAAAGAAAGAACAAACAAAATTTGCCCAAAATTTAACTATGATGGTTTACTATCAGATTATGCAAAGATACCTTGGTTACGTCGGATACTCGCGAAAGTCTGAAACAACGATGTGACATAGTCGTACATTAGATTTTCTTAGAATAGTACAAGACAACTTCAAAATAGAGACTCTCTAGAATTTCTACCACATTAAATGATGTCACATGTCACATCTTATTAACTCGTTGTTTGTTAGAATGTTTACAAATACATGTAATTCGTTAGAGGTACTTATCTCACCTAATAATGCTAACCTTTATAGAAATAAATTAGTACAGATTTGCATCATCATATTCACCACCCATCAGGATTTAATATAAAAAGAAATTCCAGGCTTAGCTATCCACACATTTGGAATGTGATAAGTAGTTTTATTTCTTCTATTTAGTAAGTGACGAGATAGAACCACACCATATATGTGAGTTATGCAATTCAGATTGATAAAATTGGAATGGAGCGAAATTAATATCTAACAACATAGTAAAACAAAGTGATCGTAGTTCAAATGTTTTTGCTAAAGTTTACTTTCCATTACAAAACTTAAATAGCAACAGTAACTTTATTAGCGGTAAATTATAGGAATTGCCAAACATGACATCCTTAGCCTCTATAGATACAAATTCGAATTAGACAACCTTGGAACGGGCAAGGCAACAAGAGGAGTCTTGAGCTTCAAGACAATCCCAAACTTCTCTTCCAAGTCCAAGACGTGTCCTTCCGGAATCTTCCAATTGAACGAATGCAATAACGTCGCGAGAGTGTACAGAACCATCCTCTCGGCAAGTGCTACACCAGCGCACATTCTCCGGCCAGATCCAAAGGGAAAATAGCTATAATCAGTCCCGGTGAAATCACAAGACTTATTAACAAGAAATCTTTCAGGACAAAACTCAAACGGATTATCCCAGACGTTTGGGTCTCTCTGAATAGACCAAACATTGACAAAGATCTTAGTGTCTTTAGGAATGGTGTAGCCACCTACCACCGCGGTTTCAGCCGGACGGTGTGGGACTAACAAAGGGAGGGTTGGGTGGAGTCTAAGTGTTTCTTTCATAATGGCTAGTATGTAAGGAAGTCTAGTGATGTGTGATTCTTCAACAATATTGTCTTCGCCTACAACTTCGTCTAGCTCTTGCTGCGCTCTCTTTACCAACTCCGGTTTGCTTATAAGCTCGGCCATAGCAAACTCTATCGTGTTTGTCGATGTATCCGTACCACCAACCACCATATCCTTCACATATCTATAACAAACAACATTGATCAAATCACTTCTCATGAACAGTTAATATCTATATTCTTGTGTTTATTTTTATCGGAAGATATCAAAATTATCCACATAGTATGCAGTTGCCATCTAAATTTTGAAGTGACTAAGCCTATGATTGGTATTCTATGGAATAACACAATGATTCCATTTTCCGCAAGATTTTACCAATATCGTTCTACATTATCTCATATCGAGAATCAGATTAATTACAAAACCTACATTTGAAATCTAAATTGTAAAGTGACCAAAGCATTAATTACCGTAAGTACGGCTTTGACATGGTTAGCCGTAATGGGAACCTCCGAGTCACCTTCTTCGTTTTTTAACTTCATCAAATAATGCAAAAAGTCTTTGCATTCACCATCATCTTCATCTCTTCTATTTAGCATTTGCGTATGTTTGATAGCTCGATCTAATACCGCATCAAGCTCTCTAACACAGACACTCATCCTCTTCACAAGCCCTTGAATATCAAATCTAGATAGCCACGGAAAAAAATCCGATACATTAGGCTCACTCAAAAGCCTAGTTAACTCAGAAATCACTCCTTTAAACTCTATTCCAACACTCTCCATCTCCTCTGCTTTCACCGAACCTCCCCATAACATATTCATCGTAAGATTCATCATCGTCAAGAACATTTGATCTCCAACGTTCACCAGTAATTCTTGCTGACCTTGCTGATACAAATATCTCGTTCTTTCCCTGATTTCTTTGCGTCGTAGCTCATAGAAAGAATCCAAAGTTTTGCGGCTAAGAAGCTTGAGAACGCAAACTTTTCTAAGCCTTCTCCATTCAGCACCGTATGGTAACCAAACGATGTCGATACCACCATAAGTAGCGGCTCGGCCCGTGAGAGGGACGTCTCGGTTTGAGAAATTGATGTCTTGGTCTTTCAAGATCTCTTGAGCTAGCGATGGAGAGCTGACCACGACGGTTAACTTTGAGCCGAGATTGAGTTTGAAGATTGGACCGTACTTTTGAGCGATGGTTGTGAAGTAGGTGTGAAGCTCAGGGTCAAGAAACATGAGGTTTCCAACAATAGGTACCCCTCGCGGTCCAGGCGGCAGAGGCGGTTGCGGTCCGCGTTTGAAGCGGTACCAGAGAATCGAGGAGATAGCGGTGAGAATGAGAATTGTATAAGGAGTGAGATTGATTGTGTTGTCAGTGAAGAGATGTGAAGACATTGTTGGCAATTATGAAGATCTAACAATGAAAAGGGTTCTTTATGTTAGTTCTTTCACCTTTACTATTACAATGCGGTTATACATTAATAAACTAATAATGGGCTATCATGAAAGAAGACTTAACGGTCTGAAAGATGATGATAACTTTTGAGCGGATGTTATACTTTCCACTGTTTTTAGAGTACTCATTTTGTTTTTCAAAGTATAAGATATTTTGAGTAAACATACAAAGATTAAGAAATTTATTAGTCTTTAAAATAAATCTATTTAATATTTGATTTAAAAAAATTTTACCAATCATGAAAAATACTGTAGAGTATAAATTGTCATAAAACATTAAATATAAATATATTTATATAACATTTGTATGACGACAAAATATATATATATATATATATATAACATTTGCATAGAAATATGTAAACAACTTATCTGTTAAAACAAATAAAAACTCTAAACACGATATATTATGAAATATATCCAGTATTATTCATAACTATTTTTTGTAAAATTTGACTTCTAATATTTCAAAATAATAGTGGATTTGAAAATTTATTCACAAATCACTAATTCAATAATATTGGGGTTTTTTTAAAAAAGAATTGAAAATTCATGTTGGAATAACATAGGATTTGTGATTTTAATATAAATCACTCTAAATGCTAGATTGAGTATTTATAATGTTTGGTGGGACATTTATAACGTTTCTAAAACTCATATTACGCTTGAACAAAAAGGTACAGTGTATAACGTTTGGTGGGATATTTACAAAAAAAAAGTTTGGTGCATGGTACATTGTACTTTTTTTTTGTATAATGCAAGAATTGCTAAAGATAAGAGCACAACGGGAGTGTTTAGATGATGCTTAGCTCAAAAAATAAATCCAAAATGAAAATAAATTGAAGAATCGTTGCTTAAATAAGACCAATAAGCATCGATGCTTATAGGGCACGTGAGGTTTATTTATTGGACATATAGAAAAGAAGCTATGTTTATTGATGTTTTTGTTTTCTCTCTTTTCTTTTTCTCTTTCCTCATTTTTTTTTCTTCTCTCTTAAGTTTAATATTATTTCTTAAATCGATGCTAGCATTGCTGATGCTCTAACAATCTTGGCTTCTATAGATAAAGATTCAAATCGGACAATCTCGGAACGGGCAAGGCAACAAGAGGGGTCTTGAGCTTCAAGATAATCCCAAACTTTTCTTCCAAGTCCAACACATGTCCTTCTGGAATCTTCCAATCAAACGAATGCAATAGCGTCGCAAGAGTGTACAAGACCATCCTCTCGGCGAGTGCTACACCGACGCAACTTCTCCGGCCAGATCCAAAAGGAAGAAAACTATAATCGGTTCCGGTGAAATCACAAGATGTATTATCAAGAAACCTCTCAGGACGAAACTCAGTTGGATTCTCCCACACATTTGGGTCTCTCTGAATAGACCAAACATTGACAAAGATCTTGGTGTTTTTAGGGACGGTATAACCGCCCACAACCGCGGTTTCAGCTGGACGGTGAGGGACTAACAAAGGAATGGTTGGGTAAAGCCTAAGTGTTTCTTTCATTATGGCTAATATGTAAGGAAGTCTAGTGATGTGTGATTCTTCAACAATTTTGTCTTTGCCTACAACTTGGTCTAGTTCCTGCTGCGCTCTCTTCATCAACTCCGGTTTGCTTATAAGCTCAGCCATCGCAAACTCTATCGTGTTCGTTGATGTATCCGTACCACCAAACACCATATCCTTCACATATACATAACAAACATTTTGATCAAATCACTATCATGAACTCAGACTAATCTACATATCTGCCATCTAAATTATGAAGTAGCTAAGACTCTAATTGGTAATCCGCAGAAATGGCAGATTATAAAGATCTCATAGAGAAACTCAGACTAATCAATGTACTCTACAATTGACATCTAAATTTTGAAGTGGAAAATTTTTTGATTGGGAATCCAATCTGCAGAATAGCGGAATGGCTGAACCATAATGAAATTCCAAAATATGTAACCAATTGAAATTTTATGACTTATCATGACTGCCAAATATAGGAATACAAATGACAGATTTAGTTCGGAAACCATAATTCTACATTTTCGTAACTATATCAACTTTTTGTTGATTAATGATTTTATCATCGGTTTATTCACCAGGGTTTTAAAAGAAGAACTTTCTAAATTTCCAAAAATAGAAGATACGTTCACTTTCTAAAAATTTGGTGTCCTCCCAAATGCATGTTTTATATTCTAAGATTATGAAACTGAAAACCATATTCATTACCATGAGTACGGCTTTGACATGGTTAACCGTGATGGGAACCTCTGAGTCAACTTCTTGGTCCTTTAACTTCATCAAATGTTGCAAAAAGTCTTTGCATTCACCATCATCCCTACTTTTGAGCCTTTTCATGTGCTCGATGGCTTGATCGAATATAGCATCGAGCTCGTGAACATACACACGCATCTTCTTCACAAGCCCTTGAAAATCGAATCTCGCTATCCACGGAAAGAAATCCGAAACATTAGGCTCACCCGCAAGCCTAGATATCTCAGAAATCACTCCTTTAAACTCTGTTCCAACACTCTCCATCTCCTCTGCTTTCACCGAACCTCCCCATAACATATTCATCGTTAGATTCATCATCGTCAAGAACAACTGATCTCCGACTTTCACTGGTGATTCTTGCTGACCTTGCTGGTACAAATATCTCGTTCTTTCCCTGATTTCTTTGCGTCGTAGCTCGTAGAAAGAATCCAAAGTTTTGCGGCTAAGAAGCTTGAGAACGCAAACTTTTCTAAGCCTCCTCCATTCGGCACCATATGGTAACCAAATGATGTCAATACCACCATAAGTAGCGGCTCGGCCCGTGAGAGGGACATCTCGGTTTGAGAAGTTGATGTCTTGGTCTTTCAAGATCTCTCGAGCCAGCGATGGAGAGTTGACCACGACGGTTAGCTTTGAGCCGAGATTGAGTTTGAAGATTGGACCGTATTTCTGAGCGATGTTTGTGAAATAGTTGTGAAGGTCAGGGTCAAGAAACAGGAGGTTTCCGACAATAGGTAGCCCTCGCGGTCCAGGCGGCAGAGGCGGTTGCGGTCCGCGTTTATTGAGGTACCAGAGAATCGAAAAGATTGCTGTGAGAATGAGAATTGCATAAGGAAGGAGATTAATTGTGTTGTTTGTTAAGACATGTACAATTGGTGACATTTTTGAGAATTATGAGATTAAGTAAAGGAAAGTGTTCTCTATGCTTTATGTTAGTTATTTTACCTTTACTATTAGCAAACAGCTGTAGGGGTAAACAGAAATAAATTTTAATGGACAAAGCCAATCACGAATGAAGACTTAACGGTCTCAAAGATGATAAGTTTTGAGCGGATGTTATACTTTCCAATATTTTTTGGAATGGTACTTGGATATTATTACTCTCTCAATATAAAACTGAAGATATTTTAAGCTTTTCATACATACTAATTTTCACTTTTTGTAAATCATGCAGACAATTCTGACCTACAAAATCCACGGTGTTCTGTCTGCACACTAACCACGATGAATAGTTTTTCTTGCACGGCATTGAAAATCTCTTAAATTTACCCTTTTTTTTTAATTTGCATCTCCAGAAATCAAACTCTATATCTTCTCGTGTGAAAACATGAATGAACTCTTGGTCAACCAACCAAAAGAACTTTCACTCTATTTTTTTTTGTCATAAATGAAATATGTTAGAAAAAATTAAAAATGTATGTTAAGATTACGAATTTGTTAACAAAATCTAATAATTCCAAAATATTATGATGAATATTTTACTCAATATTTAGAATAATACTACTCTTATTCTTAAAATAGATTACCGTCATTCATTCTTAACAATTTTTCTGTAAACTTTGTTTAAAATTCTTTAGACCTTAAACTCTTTAAAATCTTCCTATATATCCAAATAATTGACCTAATATGCATTTCTTAGAGTTGGAATAGAGTAATATTTGAGGAGATTTTTCTCTAAACTAATATCTAAAACGAGAATTAGATTATCTTTAGAGATGCTCTTCAGGTCCTAATAACTCAAACTTCTCTGAATTGCGTTTATCACCCATCATGATTTTCGTTTATCACCCATCTTAATTAAATTCAGTAAGAAACTCATGATTAACTACATTTATTTGAAATAATGCTAAGTTGTTTTGTTTCTTCTATTTATAGTAACTAGATTTTGTACCCATGCGAATGTTATCATACTGATAAAAATCATATTTAAACAGTTATATTTATTTAGATATTAATTTGTTGTAATAAAATTTATCAAAAATAATTCAGTTTTAACCTCAAATTTATATATAGATTTTGAGGTTTTAACGATCTTGTTTGAATTTATATATGTGCCGTTTTAAAAACATATTTCGAACGCGTAACAATTTATATACCAAAACCAACCCAAAATGTAACAAACTAATTAAAGAATACTTAATTAGTATTAACCTTATCGTACTCGCAGCTTTAACCTTATCGTGTATACGCCATAAAAAAAAAAGAGATGATGAGTGTGCGAAAAGAATAAGTCTGGGGGAGAGAAAAGTACCAAAGTGTGTATAGCTGATTTGTTTGAGTATAGTACGAGAAATAGTTTAGAAGGTTCTTGGCACTGGAATCATCAGTGAGATCCAGCGATGAGGGTTTATGGACAATGTTGTGGAATTTTGGATTTAATCTGGGAGGCTGTGAATGTCTGCGGAGAAGTACATGGTGGTTCGATTTGGAATGATGAAGCACTAGTTGAGTTGCAGGGTGATCGGTCAAAAGCGATGTTCCAGTGAAAGGTTGAGTCTCTGTGTTTTCAAACCTCTTTCTCTTATTTGGTGTTCTGTTTGCTTGAGGGCAAGCAAATGCTAAGTCTGGGGGAGTTGATATATCATGGTTTTTATGGTTTTAAACCATGGTATAGGTCTTATTTATAGAGTATTTCTAGTGTTTTTCGAGTCTTTTGGAGTTTTTACAGGTCATAGGTACGTTTGGAGCTTAACTTGAGACTTTGGAGCACTTTGGAGCTAAACCAGAATCAAATTCGCGAAGGACAAATCATGTGCAATGGTGTCGCTCGACACCTTGGAGAGTGACGCTCGACACTTGTTGCAGAAATAAGGAAAACGTGATTTTGTTTCTTGTTTGAAGAAGGAGTTGGACCCAAAAGTCTCCAATAATTACAAGGAAGCCCAACACGTGATTTTTAGTATTTAATAGGGTTTTTAGCCATCTTATATCGAGACCTTAGATTTTCTTAGAGAGAACTTTTGTTTTTGAGAGCTTTTGGGGAGACAAGTCTGAAACTCTGTTCCGAAGAGAGAAGATTTCGAACCCCTGTATATTAATCTATTTACTGCTTTCTGCATTCTATTCATTCATGTTTATTGCTTTAATCTCTATGTCTGAGTAGTTTGCCTATTAGGTTTAGGGTTCTCATAAATGGTTTCTTTAGATCTTGGATTGATTGATTAGTTAGGGTTCATAATCTATTTTGTTCTTCACCATAGGTTGTTCTTAAAGCTAATTCTGGACTGGCCACCTAGAACTTAGATCTTAGGTTAATTGATTGACATGGAAGTGTAATTGAATAACTGGAAAGAACCTAGGGTGAGCAAAGTAGCTATTCGCAAAGGAATTTGGTTTAGATACTTTGTGAACATATCAAATTTGAGCATTAAAGCTGGTTTATGTCTTTAGGATTGGCAAAAGAATTTAGAATTCTGAGATTTAGACTTCGATAATTCTCGCAACGGAAATTGGTTAGTTATAATTTCGTGATTTGAGTTCAAGAACCGTGCTTAACCCTGAACCCTGATTTATCGATTAATCTGCATTCTCTGATTTCCTGAGAAACACCCTGAGCCTAATTCTTTTCCATAGAGTTTACAACCTTTTTGCTTTCATTGTTGCTTTTAATTTCATTGTGTTTGCTTAGCGTAGTTCAAGCCTAGATAGTTTATTGTACGAATCTCTCGTCTCTGTGGTTCGACCCCTTCAATACTACAACTGCACATCTGTGCTCTTGCAGAGTAGCTTTAGGGATTAAACTTTTAGCAGATCAAGTTTTGGCGCTGTTGCCGGGGACTTAATTTTCGCCATTAGACTTTAGTTCTTGAGTTTCGACTAAGTTTTTCTTAGTGTCGAGCGACACCAGCACTGGTGTCGCGCGACACCCATCGTTTTTCTTAATTTTATTTTTACTTTGTTACTTCATTTGTTCTTTCTCTTTGTCTCAGCAACCGGCAGAGATGGAGAACGCAAACAGACTTGTGTGTGATGATGCTGGTATCTGGAGAGACCAAGATGGTCATGTGTGCAATGAGAGAGGCCAAAGACTTGATGGAGATGGTAACATCATTCCACCAGCACCTTTACCGGTGAATGTTGTTAACCAGTACCCACCACCTGCACCGCGTGGTAATGCTGTGATCATTCCAAATCAGAGGAATGCTCCAGAAGAACAGAACGTGAGGGAACCTGCACCTGCAGCTGGTCGTGGAAGAACGATTGGAGATTACAACAGGCCTGAGCAGTTCTATGCAAATCGATCCGCGATTCGCGCTCCTGCGTTTCAAAGGAATGATTTTGAGTTGAAGCCTGTGTACTACACTCTTGTGGGACAGCATCCTTTTCATGGTCATTCTCATGAGCACCCTATGGATCACATCGAGAGGTTTGAGGACTTGGTCACCAGCATCAAATACAATGGAGTGTCCAATGATTATCTTTTCTGCAAGCTGTTTCCTTACTCTCTTGCTGGAAAAGCAGCTAACTGGCTGAAGCAGTTGGAGTCAGGATCACTAACTACTTGGGAAGAGACCAGGAACGCTTTTCTGCAAAATTTCTATGATGATGCCAGGTCTGAGGAACTGAGACTCAAAATCTCAACGTTTTCTCAATGACCAACTGAAGCATTCAAAGCTGCTTGGGTGAGATTCAAGTCGTACCAGCGAGATTGTCCACATCATGATTTCAGTGATGTTCAGCTGCTGGGTATTTTTTCAGAGATGTTGATTGGAGATATCAGATGGCTCTTGATGCTGCAAGCAATGGGAACTTCAACACCAGATACCCTGAAGATGTTGTTGTGCTTATTGAGAACTTGGCATCTAGCAATAGTACCAAGAATGCAGACTATCAGCGAAGGAAGCAGGTTGGGAACATAGATGGATCGCAGATTGCTGAGGTGAAGGCTAAGCTAGACTCTGTGCATAGCCTTCTTGTGGGTAAGAAGTCTGTCAGATTTCCTGCAGATGTTGAGAGTTTCGAACTTGAGGAAGAGGATGTTAACTTCATCAATGGAGCTGGATTTCAAGGTCAGAGATTTGGTACTCAGCAAAGAAACATGAATTACAATGGAAATAATCAGAGGAGTACCTTCACAGGTAATCAGAACTCTTTTGGTTGCAACTCTAGACCTGTTTAGTACCAGACATCCTACTCCAACAATAGTTTTTTAAGGAATTATGGTTCTCTCCTCCTCCTCAAACTCTAGATAATGAGGTGAAGTCTATGCTGGAACAGATCTTGGAAGGTCACTAGAAGATGACTGTGGATTTCAATGGGAAGATTGATGCTATGTATCTGGATCTGAATGGAAAAATTGAAGTTCTGAACACTCATGTCAAGAAGCTTGATACTCAGGTTGCTCAGACTGCAGAGTCTGTAAAAAGGCAAGAAGGATTCCTTCCTGGGAAGACTGATACCAATCCTAGGCATTACGTCAGTGCCATCTCGTTAAGAAGTGGTAAAAAGTGGTAAAAAGTTGACTCTTGTGCTGAAAAATGGTGTTTCTGAGGATGAAATCGTGGAGTTGGACGAATCTGAAGAAAATTTCGAAGTTGCAGAGCCGGTGTCGAGCGACACCACAACCAGTGTCGCGCGTCACCAATTGCAGAGCGAAGCTGATATTCCTCAAAGTCCGAAATCTGCTGAGGAAAAAGTTTACAAACCTAAGGTTCTTTACCCAAGGAGTCCTAGGAAGTCCAAGCAGGAGATAGATGATGTCAGATGCAAGGCTTTGATGGAGAAGCTTGTGATTGAGATTCCTTTGGTTGATACTGTGAAGATTGCTCCTACTCTCAAACACTATATGAAGAGGATGGTGACTAATAATCTGAGTCATGAGGAAGGAGTGATGATGATTTCTGAATAAGTCAGTGTTGTGATTCAGAATAAGATTCCAGAGAAACTCTCGGACCCAGGAAGCTTTGTTTTGGACTGCTCTATCTTCTTGGAGAAGTTCAAGAGATCGCTGTGTGATCTTGGTTCGAGTGTCAACCTCATGCCATACTCTGTAGCTGTTAACCTTGGGATGACTGACTTCAAGCCAACTAAGATCTCTTTGATCCTAGCAGATCGATCTAAAAGAATCCCAAAAGGTGTTTTGGAGGATGTTCCGATTAAAGTTGGTGATTGCATAATTCCTACAGATTTCGTGGTTCTGGAATATGGAGAGGAACCCAAAGATCCTCTTATCTTGGGAAGATCGTTTTTAGCTACAGCTGGAAAGGTAATTGATGTCAAGCATGGTAACCTTGATCTCTACTTGGGAGATACCATCATGACTTTCAAGATGGAGAAGCTGAAGGATCCAACCATAGATGGTCAGACATTCCAAGTCAGTGCAATACCTGAAGTGATAGTTGGAGATCAGAACGTGTTTGATGCTGAGAAGGTGAAAGATCAACCTGAGTTGACTAAGACGTCTACAGAACCAGTAACTGCTATTGCACAAAAAGCTCACAACATCATGTTCCATTCATCTCCACCAAAGAATAGGTCAAGGTCACCCAAACACAGATCTCACCCTGGTGCTATTCCTGCATTCCTTGGACGACCTCATGCGCTCAACGCTTACAAACCACCATGGATGAGACGACTTTCACAGAGGCACTCTTTGCCACTGTCTGATCCACCAGATGCATAATCTATCCATAGTCAAGCTAGTGACTTAAAAAAAAGCGTTTGGTGGAAGGCAACCCACTGGTAAATCTGTACATAAGTCTTTTTGTTTCTTTTGATTTTCATTTTTCGTTTTTGTGTTTTAGGTGTAACAGATACGAAGTGGTTAGTGTCGAGCGACACCACCATCAGTGTCGGTCGACACCAGTAAAAAAAAAACAAATAATAGGAAATCAGGAAACCGGAGTCGAACCAGAAATTCGGAGTGGTCTGTTGCAATTTGGTACGAGAAGAACAAGTGTCGCACGACACCATCATCAGTGTCGCTTGACACCATCATTGCAGCCAGGTAAGTTCTCTGTTTTTCCTGCGTTTCTCTGTTTCATTTCTTTTGTTTCACCAACTTCGGACTAGATAACACTGGGGACAGTGTTGTTTAAGTCTGGGGGAGGTAGTTGCTGACATTGTGTTTGTTTTTCTTAAGAGTCAGTCGTGTCAAAACGTTTTTGAGTCAAAACTTGTTGGAGATTATGAGGTTTTTCCTGGAATTATTGTGATGACCTTTCATCTAAGTGACTATTGCTGCAGATTCAGTCTAGATCCGACTAATGAAAAATCCAAAGACTGACCAGTTGACTAAAGGCGTCCATGTTTCCAACAGAATCCACTAACCTGAGCTAATTTCTGAACTCTTTCTTTTACCTCATTGATGTGACTAATGTTCATAGAGCTTGATTCCTCATTCATACTTGACAAATGAAAGCCTATGTGAAATCTAATGTTGGTGTTTCTCTCCCTGTGACGAGCTAAAAAAAGAGTTGAAACAAGAAAGAAAAAGGCAAAAAGATTGAGATGATTTTCACTTAGGAGTGAAGGGCTAGGAAAATTTCCAAGGATCCCATTATTTCACTTCTAAGTTGGAATGATCACACAAAGGAAGGAAGCGAGGGGTAGGAAAGTTTCCTATGACCCCACTATTCGCCGAAAACCTTTGATACAAGGTAAGGGGACAACTCGGGGACTCAATGGAAAACACCATCAGTACTCGCAGCTTTAACCTTATCGTGTATACGCCATAAAAAAGAAAGAGATGATGAGTGTGCGAAAAGAATAAGTCTGGGGGAGAGAAAAGTACCAAAGTGTGTATGGCTGATTTGTTTGAGTATAGTACGAGAAATAGTTTAGAAGGTTCTTGGCACTGGAATCATCAGTGAGATCCAGCGATGAGGGTTTATGGACAATGTTGTGGAATTTTGGATTTAATCTGGGAGGCTGTGAATATCTGCGGAGAAGTACATGGTGGTTCGATTTGGAATGATGAAGCACTAGTTGAGTTGCAGGGTGATCGGTCAAAAGCGATGTTCCAGTGAAAGGTTGAGTCTCTGTGTTTTCAAACCTCTTTCTCTTATTTGGTGTTCTGTTTGCTTGAGGGCAAGCAAATGCTAAGTCTGGGGGAGTTGATATATCATGGTTTTTATGGTTTTAAACCATGGTATAGGTCTTATTTATAGAGTATTTCTAGTGTTTTTCGAGTCTTTTGGAGTTTTTACAGGTCATAGGTACGTTTGGAGCTTAACTTGAGACTTTGGAGCACTTTGGAGCTAAACCAGAATCAAATTCGCGAAAAAAAAAATCATGTGCAATGGTGTCGCTCGACACCTTGGAGAGTGACGCTCGACACTTGTTGCAGAAATAAGGAAAACGTGATTTTGTTTCCTGTTTGAAGAAGGAGTTGGGCCCAAAAGTCTCCAATAATTACAAAGAAGCCCAACACGTGATTTTTAGTATTTAATAGGGTTTTTAGCCACCTTATATCGAGACCTTAGATTTTTTTAGAGAGAACTTTTGTTTTTGAGAGCTTTTGGGGAGACAAGTCTGAAACTCTGTTCCGGAGAGAGAAGATTTCGAACCCCTGTTTATTAATCTATTTACTGCTTTCTGCATTCTATTCATTCATGTTTATTGCTTCAATCTCCATGTCTGAGTAGTTTGCCTGTTAGGTTTAGGGTTCTCATAAAGGGTTTCTTTGGATCTTGGATTGGTTGATTAGTTAGGGTTCATAATCTATTTAGTTTTTCACCATAGGTTGTTCTTAAAGCTAATTCTGGACTGACCACCTAGAACTTAGAGCTTAGGTTAATTGATTGACACGAAAGTGTAATTGAATAACTGGAAAGAACCTAGGGTGAGCAAAGTAGCTATTCGCAAAAGAATTTGGTTTAGATACTTTGTGAACATATCGAACTTGAGCATTAAAGCTGGTTTATGTCTTTAGGATTGGCAAAAGAATTTAGAATTCTGAGATTTATACTTAGATCATTCTCGCAACGGAAGTTGGTTAGTTATAATTTCATGATTTGAGTTCAAGAACCGTGCTTAACCCTGAACCCTGATTTATCGATTAATCTGCATTCTCTGATTTCCTGAGAAACACCCTGAGCCTAAATCTTTTCCATAGAGTTTACAACCGTTTTGCTTTCATTGTTGCTTTTAATTTCATTGTGTTTGCTTAGCGTAGTTCAAGCCTAGATAGTTTATTGTGCGAATCTCTCGTCTCTGTGGTTCGACCCCTTCAATACTACAACTGCACATCTATGCTCTTGCAGAATAGCTTTAGGGATTAAACTTTTAACAGATCACAGGAACATGTAGATGGAGAGAGAGTATGTTTGAGGGAGAGAAATAAAGAGAGAGAGGGAGAGAGAGAGAGAGAGAGAGAGAAAGAGAGAGATAGGGAAGAGAGGGAGAAAGAGAAACGGTGGAGAAAGTTAAACATTATAGGTACGTGATATTAAATCTATGTTAGTTCGTATTTTCTATATTTCAATTTTTTTATATTTGAAACAATTCTTACTTTAAATGTAATTATCTAAATTGTGTAATATATACAATTTCGGACGAGGGAAAAGGGAGAGAATGAGAGAGAGAAATATTGAAAGAGAGAGAGAGAGAATGATAGAGAGGGACACGTAGAGGAGGAGGAGAAAGAGAGTTAAAATTTTCAAGTACATATATTTGATTGATATAAAAGACGAAAGGAAATAAGAATATGATGAAGTCGGAGAGAATAAAGAAGACGAAGGCGATGAAGAAGAAGAAGAAGAAGAAGAAGAAGAAGAAAAAGAAGTAGAATAGGAAGAAGATGAGGAAAAGATGTGGAAAATAGCGAAAAGAAGAAGATGTGACAAAAAAACTTAAAGAATAAGAAGTAAGAAAAGACATATAGAATGAATAGGAGAAAAAGGAACTAAAAGAAAATGACAAAAAACTAAGATGAAAACATGGGAGAAGAATGAGAGATAAAGATGGAAGACAATGAAGAAATATAAGGAAAAAACGATAAACAAGAAAAAGTAAAACATAAATAAGAAGTAAAAAGAAGAAAATGAAAAACAACTATGTGAAGATGAATAACTCGTTTTTTTTATAATTCAATTGGTTTGTGAGTTCAATATCCTTAGTTAGTAAACATTTTTGTCTTTAATTTTGGATGATATTTACTTTTTGAATTTGATTTATTTTATTATGTATGTCTTAAATAGTTATTTAATTCTTTTCAGTTTTTAGTTTATAACATTGTACTTATGTCCACATAAGGTGCAGACCAAACATCTAATTAATAATATATGAAGCTATAGAACAAGATCAGACCATGTGAGTTATGCAATTCAGATTAAAGAATATTGGACTGACACGAAACTATTAGCCAAACATTTAGGTAAAAAAGAAGGCCCAAATTTTGCTATTTTTACCGACGTCTGATATATATTATAGAACTTATTAAAACTTCATTAATAACATCCTACATCACCGTAGTAATTATTTGGTTTTGTATAAGAGTATCACATATGATGTTTGAAACACATTATAAATACATTGTACATTATACTAGAAATCCGGTAATAATTTTTTGGTTTTTGTATGCTACTAAAGATTACAATCTTAGCTTCTATAGGTAAAGATTTGAATCGGACAACCTCGGAACGGGCAAGGCAACAAGAGGGGTCTTGAGCTTCAAGACAATCCCAAACTTTTCTTCCAAATCCAACACATGTCCTTCTGGAATCTTCCAATCAAACGAATGCAATAGCGTCGCTAAAGTGTACAAGACCATCCTCTCGGCGAGTGCTACACCTGCGCAAATTCGCCGGCCAGATCCAAAAGGAAGAAAGCTATAATCGGTTCCGGTGAAATCACAAGATTTATTATCAAGAAACCTCTCAGGACGAAACTCAGTTGGATTCTCCCACACATTTGGGTCTCTCTGAATAGACCAAACATTGATGAATATCTTGGTATCTTTAGGGACGGTGTAACCACCCACAACCGCGGTTTCAGCTGGACGGTGAGGGGCTAACAAAGGAATGGTTGGGTAAAGCCTAAGCGTTTCTTTCATTATGGCTAATATGTAAGGAAGTCTAGTGATGTGTGATTCTTCAACAATTTTGTCTTTGCCAACAATTTCGTCTAGTTCCTGTTGCGCTCTCTTCATCAACTCCGGTTTGTTTATAAGCTCCGCCATCGCAAACTCCATTGTGTTCGTAGATGTATCCGTACCACCAAACACCATATCCTTTACATAAACATAACAAACATTTTGATCAAATCACTATCATGAACTCAGACTAATCTACATAGCATGCATCTGCCATCTAAATTATGAAGTAGCTAAGACTCTAATTGGTAATCTGCAGAAATGGCAGATTATAAAAATATCATATTGAAACTCAGACTAATCAATGTACTCTACAATTGACATCTAAATTTTGAAGTGGGAAATTTTTTGATTGGGAACCCAATCTGCGGAATAGTGGAATGGCTGAACAATAATGAATTTCCAACATATTTTACCAAATGAAAGTTTATGACTTATCATGACTGCAAAATATAGCAATACAAATGACAGATTTAGTTCAGAAACCATAATTCTACATTTTCGTAACTATATCGACTTTTTGTTGATTAATGATTTTATCATGGGTTTATTAGCTCCAATATAAGAAGAACTATCTAAATTTCTAAAAATAGAATATACGTTCACTTTCCAAAAGTTTGGTATCCTCCCAAATGCATGTTTTATATTCTAAGATTATGAAACTCAAACCAAATTAATTACCACGAGTACGGCTTTGACATGGTTAACCGTGATGGGAACCTCTGAGTCAACTTCTTGGTCCTTTAACTTCATCAAATGTTGCAAAAAGTCTTTGCATTCACCATCACCCCTACTTTGTACCCTTTGCATGTGCTCGATGGCTCGATCGAATATAGCATCGAGCTCGTGAACATACACACGCATCTTCTTCACAAGCCCTTGAAGATCGAATCTTGCTACCCACGGAAAGAAATCCGAAACATTAGGCTCACCCGCAAGCCTAGTCATCTCGGAAATCACTCCTTTAAACTCTGTTCCAACACTCTCCATCTCCTCTGCTTTAACCGAACCTCCCCATAACATATTCATCGTTAGATTCATCATCGTTAAAAACAACTGATCTCCGACGTTCACCGGTGATTCTTGTTGACCTTGCTGGTACAAATACCTCGTTCTTTCCCTGACTTCCTTGCGCCGAAGCTCGTAGAAAGAATCCAAAGTTTTGCGGTTAAGAAGCTTGAGAACACAAACTTTTCTAAGCTTTTTCCATTCGGCACCGTATGGTAACCAAACGATGTCGATACCACCATAAGTAGCGGCTTGAACTGTGAGAGGGACGTCTCGGTTTGAGAAGTTGATGTCTTGTTCTTTCAAGATCTCTCGAGCCAGCGATGGAGAGTTGACCACGACGGTTAGTTTTGAGCCGAGATTAAGTTTGAAGATTGGACCGTGTTCTTGAGCGAGTTTTGTAAAGTAAGTGTGAAGGTCAGGGTCAAGAAACAGGAGGTTTCCGACAATAGGTAGCCCTCGCGGTCCAGGCGGCAGAGGCGGTTGCGGTCCGCGTTTAAAGAGGTACCAGAAAATTGAAAAGATTGCTGTGAGAATGAGAATTGCATAAGGAAGGAGCTTAATTGTGTTGTCGGTGAAGAGATGTGAAATCGGTGACATTTTTGAGAATTATGAGATTAAAACAAAGGAAATTGTTCTTTATGTTAGTTATTTCACCTTAACTTTACCAATAGTATACAGTAATATATTAATAACGGGGAAAGCCAATCATGAATGAAGACTTCAGGGTCTAGATGATATCTTTTTGAGCGGATGTTAGACCATGTCCATCAATGACTTCTGAGAAATGGGTTCGTCTTAATATAATAATACTTTTTTTATTTTGTTTTTTTTATTTTTTTTAAATTCGAAAATTATTTTTTGGAACTAATCAGAATGCTTTACGTGTGATGAATCTGGATGAATTTGGATTCTTCAGCTTCGTCGAGAAGAACTTTGACCATAAACCTCTACATTTAAAATTATTATTTTATTGAATTTCATCTTAAAACCTATGCCATGAATTCTTGATGAACTCCTGATAAACATGCTCTTATACTCTTACTGTGTTTAGAATGGTACTTTCCACTGTTTTTACTCTCTCAATAAAAAATTTGATAGATATTTTAAGCTTTTCATACATACTAATTTTTTTTTAACTTACTATTTCTTTTATAAATAAAATATGTTAGTGAAAATTTAAAATATGTTAAAATTACGAATGGTTTAACAAAATATAATAATTCCAGAATAATAGTTCTTTATACTCAATTTAGAATTATTCTATTCTTTTTCTTACAATAGATTATTATTCATTCATAACATTTTTTCTGTAAAATTTGTCTAAATAATTTTAGATCTTTAAATTCCATAAATTTTTTCTATATATCCATATCATTGATCCAGTATGCTTTTCTTAGAGTATGAATAGATTAATATTTGAGAAGGTTTTTCTCTAAACTTATATCTAAAGCGAAAATTAGATTAGCTTTTAAAGATGTTTTTGAGGTCCTTGAATTAGTTTTAGAGATGTTTTTGAGGTTCTAAAAGCATCTTCATTGAGAGATTCTCACGAGAGTATAGAGAATGAGAAGAGATTTTCAAATGATAACTTATGAGAACCCATGAGAACCTCAAAACAAATGTATTCTTTTTATATTAGTTTAATTTTTAATTTAGATTAAAATTTTGAAAAATAATCAAGTTCTATTTAAATACTAGTATTTTTTATGTTTGAGATACTTTAAAAGATTTTCACCAATAAAGATGCGCTTATAACTCAAAGTTTTCTGATTTGCGTTTATCACCCATCGTAATTAAGTTTAGTAAGAAACTCACAATTTGCGTTTATCAACCATCATCGTAATTAAGTTTAGTAAGTTGTTTTGTTTCTTCTATTTTTAGTAATTAACAGAGAGAACTGTGATGTGAGTTATGCAGTTCAGATTAGAGAATATTGGACTGGCACGAAACTAATATCCAAACATTTAGATAAAACAAATGGTCCAAATTCAATACTTTTGTTATTTTTTTACCGAATCTGACGTTTGATTTACATTATAAAACTTATATTAAAACTTCGTAAATAACATCATACTTTACCGTAATAATTATTTGGTTTTGTATAATAGAATCACATATGACGCTTAAAAAACGTTATAAATACATTGTACTTTACCTCGAAAAACCCGGTAGTAATTTGTTGTTTTTGTATGATACAAGAATTTCTAAAGATTACAATCTTAGCTTCTATAGGTAAAGATTTGAATCGGACAATCTCGGAACGGGCAAGGCAACAAGAGGGGTCTTGAGCTTCAAGACAATCCCAAACTTGTCTTCCAAATCCAACACATGTCCTTCTGGAATCTTCCAATCAAACGAATGCAATAGCGTAGCTAGAGTGTACAAGACCATCCTCTCGGCGAGTGCTACACCTGCGCAAATTCGCCGGCCAGATCCGAAAGGAAGAAAGCTATAATCGGTTCCGGTGAAATCACAAGATTTATTATCAAGAAACCTCTCAGGACGAAACTCAGTTGGATTCTCCCACACATTTGGATCTCTGTGAATAGACCAAACATTGATAAAGATCTTAGTGTCTTTAGGAATGGTGTAGCCGCCCACTACCGCGGTTTCAGCCGGACGGTGAGGGACTAACAAAGGAATGGTTGGATAAAGCCTAAGTGTTTCTTTCATAATGGCTAATATGTAAGGAAGTCTAGTGATGTGTGATTCTTCAACAATATTGTCTTTTCCGACAACTTCGTCTAGCTCTTGCTGTGCTCTCTTTATCAACTCCGGTTTGCTTATAAGCTCGGCCATCGCAAACTCTATCGTATTCGTTGATGTATCTGTACCACCGACCACCATATCCTTCACAAATACATAACAAACATTTTGATCAAATCAGTATCATGAACCAATAATCATCTAATCTACCTAGCATGCAGCTGTCATCTAAAATTTGAAATAGCTATAACTCTGGTTGGTAATACGCAGAAATGGCGGATTCTAAAGATATCAGATCAAAAGTTAGAGTAACCAATTGTTTCAATGATGTATCTTTTTCAAGTTTCAAAAACATGATTCCACTGAATGATAAAAGTAAAAATTAAAACGTTATTTTTCTATCCATCACACATGTTCTAAATTTATAACTAGTTTATACAAAACTTTATTCATCTTTGACATTTTAAGATTTATTTAAGGTTTTTTTCGATTCGACTATTCTATTATTCAGCTATCCTCAATACCAGTCATGCCCAATGTATTCTACTGACTACTACAGACATCTAAGTTCTGAAGTTTCAAATGTTACTGGTAATACTAATGAGAAGTTTAATCTAGAAACCATAATTCAGCATTTTCGTAACTATATTAACTTTTTGTTAATTCCATTCTGCTTATTTTTTTCACTTTCCAGAAGTTTGGTATCCTCCCAAATGCAAGTTTTATATTCTAAGATTATGAAACTGAAAACCAAATTAATTACCATGAGTACGGCTTTGACATGGTTAACCGTAATGGGAACCTCTGAGTCAACTTCTTGGTCCTTTAACTTCATCATATGTTGCAAAAAGTCTTTGCATTCACCATCATCATCCCTACTTTTTAGCCTTTGCATGTGCTCAATGGCTCGATCGAATATAGCATCGAGCTCATGAGCACACACACGCATCTTCTTCACAAGCCCTTGAAGATCGAATCTTGCTATCCACGGGAAAAAATCCGAAACATTAGGCTCACCCAAAAGCCTAGTTATCTCAGAAATCACTCCTTTAAACTCTGTTCCAACACTCTCCATCTCCTCTGCTTTCACCGAACCTCCCCATAACATATTCATCGTTAGATTCATCATCGTCAAGAACAACTGATCTCCGACATTCACCGGTGATTCTAGCTGACCTTGCTGGTACAAATACCTCGTTCTTTCCCTGATTTCTTTGCGTCGAAGCTCGTAGAAAGAATCCAAAGTTTTGCGGCTAAGAAGCTTGAGAACGCAAACTTTTCTAAGCATTCTCCATTCGGCACCATATGGTAACCAGACGATGTCAATACCACCATAAGTAGCGGCTCGGCCCGTGAGAGGGACATCTCGGTTTGAGAAGTTGATGTCTTGGTCTTTCAAGATCTCTCGAGCCAGCGATGGAGAGTTGACCACGACGGTTAGCTTTGAGCCGAGATTGAGTTTGAAGATTGGACCGTATTTCTGAGCGATGTTTGTGAAATAGTTGTGAAGGTCAGGGTCAAGAAACGGGAGGTTTCCGACGATTGGTAGCCCTCGCGGTCCAGGCGGCAGAGGCGGTTGCGGTTGGCGTTTGAAAAGGTACCACCAGAAAACCGAGAAGATAGCGGTGAGGATGAGAATTGCGTAAGGAGTGAGATTGATTCTGTTGTCGGCAAAGAGATTTGGAATCGGTGACATTTTTGACAGCTGTTTGTAGAGGAATTTTGAGATTGATAAAGCTTTGCTATACTGTTTGTACGTAGGGAATCATTTCACCTTCACTGTTTAGTGTTTATATAACAAAATAATTTACTATAATAATTGTTAGGGATAGCCAACTTTTTATAATACTTTTTTTTTTCTGGACATCAGGAAGCCAAATATGAGTGGAGAATGGAGATGATAGCATTTGAACGGATAATAATATACTTTGCATTTTTTTTCTTTTATTTATTATTTAATCAAATAGTTACTCGTAAATAGTTTAAGAGTTCTGACACAAGAAGTTTTGTAGTCATGAAAAAATGAAAGTACCTCTCCAGAAATGGACCCAACGTTTAAAAATTTGAAGCTCATAAAAAAAAAAAAAATCGTGGACCCAGTCAAGAAAAGAGAGTTTGTGTAATGAAATGAGAATTTTAAGGACCTAAAAACCAATCGTGAATTATATTATTTGTTGTATACATCCCGAAATTTCTATATTTACCATACTTTATTTGTTTTCAACTACGATAAGAACAAAAAAAGATTTGTTTACAACTTTCTTGTGGAGAGGTGAAGCCAAATTTACTAATTCAATAAAAGATGCTTCATATATATAAGGCATTTGAAGAGAGAATGACTTCAGTTAATAGTTTTTTTTTTCATCTATGTGGTATTTTCCACTGGAATCGGGAATTTTATTCTATGCTCAGTAGACCTAATTTTTGTTAAATAAAAACATTTGAAATTTGTGCCAAACACATCTTCCGAAAATAGGATATCTTGGGAGGTGAATATGATGTTTACGTGACTCTTTATGATTCTATGACATATTTGGTCGTAAAATAGGTATCGGTAGTTTTCAACAAAAAAGCATAACTTGAGTACTACATATTACATAGATGTTCCGGCGACAAAAAAAAAAACATAGATGTTCCTTGCCTATAGTCTTATAGAACAACATATAAATAAAAATCATCATTCTTTGATAGTTTATGAAGGGTGGTATCATATCTACATTGGGTATAAATTTTTTTTCTTAATTTAATTTATAAAAAAATTACCGTTGTGATTTTTCATCGCAAACTAACGTCTCTTTATAAAACCAAGTTTACAAAAAAAAAAAATCATACCAAGTCTTTGAAATACAAAAAATTACACAATATGATATTCATATCACGATAGAACGATTGAAGCAATCTTACATGATACTTCCTTTTTAGAAGTCTTACTCGCTGATAAATAATCTACTTCGTCATTTTCCTTCTTGTGATAAATGTTAATTTAATGCCATCTCTATTATTGATTCTCACTTTATAGGAAACTCCAAAGTCAACTTTGCATGACAATGTTCACTAATTTTCACCGGCGATCTATATTTTCTTACAACTGAACGCCAAATGAGATATACTATTTGCGGTGGTGTCCTTATTGTTATCCCCAAAATCGTAATATAGGATCAATTATACTAGTTAACGATTTATAGTTGATCCTATATTACGTATAACTAGTACAGTTGATCCTATATTACGATTTTGGGGATAACAGTAAAGACACCACCGCAAATAATATATCTCTGAATCATGCGATAGAACAAGTTTAATTTTTACGTATTGTGAATATTTTATATTCCAAAATTATATTTAAAAACGATCTAATCAGAATAATTTGTCTTGAACGGTTAACATGATCACATCTAGATATATTAGATGTTATTTGAATTGCAAATTCAAACAAATGTCCAACATCCTATAATCCACGCAGCAACCAGAAAAATGTTAGAACAATGATGTACAATAATTATATTTAAACACAAAAACACAATTTTATTACATAATTTGATTTTAAAAAGATGAGGTATGGATTCATGGGTTAGAATCTAGTTTACTTAAAAGAAACAATTGAAACGCTATTGACGACATAAAATATGAGATGTATTAAAGACCCTCTTGAGAAACAATCAATATGATCATCAGCAACAAGGTGAACAAAACAAGAAAAGAGAACAATGCAATAAGAATCAATTAAACAAACGACGTACACCCTTTAACGTAGGAATCAAGAAACCTGAGTTTTTTTACAAGTAACTTCAACAACGTATCTAATAGTTCCCTTGCAGTGAGTCGGACCAAAAATCTTGTCCGGAGCAGGCAACTCACACTTCGTTTTCCCAAGACATTTCTGCACAAGTACGTAATAATAGTAAGATCAAGACTACCCTAAAAACAATAATAATATTTGAAAAATATATTTTTCCCATGTTGCCAAAAAAAAAAACTTATTTTTCCCTCTCAATCTTTGATATATAAAAAAAAATACTCTACTTTTAAATTAATAAATATATTAAATATATTCCAAGATTCAACCTTATTTGTAAGAAAAAACATAATTAAAACAAATTGTATTTGTGTAATATTGTGTCAAAATAACATTTATTTGATTTAATTACTTTTCAAAAGATTATTAATGTTAATTAATTAATTTTGCGTACCTTTTTAATGATATTCAATGTATTGCGTGCACCGCATTTTCCGCGTTTATATGTACCACAAGCACCAGAGGGTTGCCCATAGTCGGCGAATTTGATCTCTGAGATAACATCTCCTTTGTCGCAATCAAAATCCGGTGGCAGTAGCTTACCGGAAGCGTTGCTAGAATCCGCGCACACTGTGTATTCATCTGGATTACTGTTACTACTAGGGGAATGAATATTGGAGTCAGAAAGAACACGTTTCCGGTGACCGTGTAATGAAACGTCCATCATTGTAGCTAAACTACAGACAGAAGAAAGAAACAGAACAAGAAGCAAAATTAAACCATGAAGACGACGACAATGTAAAGTCCCCATATTTCTTTTTGGTGTTCTCATAAAAGATGAGAAGTGGTAATAATTAATGAGACTGGTAATAAGACTATTTATGGCTGGTATAGTCTATATAAGGTATTGCTCAAGAGAAAGATTGCAAAATTAAAGAAAGATTGTTCGAGAGGCGGGTTCGTGTGTGGATGTGGTATTGAAGTATATTTTCTTAATATTTCGTTTATATATATATATATTTTTTTTTTTTTTTGCATTTTTCCTCTTTCTTGGCTTTCGGAGGTGTAAGTGAATGACATTTCTTCTGACTTTTTCAAGATTACTAAATAATAGGGTTTACATTTTCAGTAAAAAATAAATAATAAAATTTTCAGTTTCTCCAATAAGAGAGAATTTAACCGATTTCACAATTATGCCTTGATCTTAAGTTTTTTGTCTGTGCTAATTGACTTCATTGTAAAGGCCGGAAAATAAATATACTCTTCGTTGGATATATTATGTTTAGAAACAATCTCACTCATATTACTTACATTTGCATTCAACTATGATGACAAATTCACAATTATGCTATCATATTTTTTGTCTTTTTTTTAAAGAGCCTTCTATTATATAAAACCGGGCCGATCTATTGAACATCAGTACTTTAGAGGAAATTTAATCTCATGAATTATTTTTTTTGATGCAAGTTGCAAATGACTAATTTTTTTTTTTTTTGTAACAAAACTATGACTAATTTGTTATTAACGGAGACTTATGGAATTAACTTATTCATACTCAAATAATTAGAATAACAAAAAAAAAATCCTTGGAGATTAGCCAATCTAGTAACTCAAGAACACAGTTTTGCAAGTTTGATCTCATGAATATAATCACAGATTCTACTTATTTGTTCTTTCTTTTTTGCTTCAAGTAATAACAAGGAAACAAGTTCATTCTTCTGATCATTCATAAGATCTCAGAAAGATTTAAAACAAACAATCTTCCCCTTCTTATCTCCAAAAAAGTCTTCGTGAATCTTTTTCATTTATCTCTAAGCCATCTTAGAACTCGCTTGCTGTTTGGACCAGCGAGAGCAATCCCGGAATCTCATAACCAGATCGCTACATTTCAACGGGTTGTCAATGTTCTCCTTGTAGCATTTCATCCACGCTTCGTTCTCCGATGAACAAGGCATTGGTTTAGGTTCCGGGATCTTAAACTCTTTCTCCCTCAGATCCTTGGCCCTCTCTGTCACTTCATGAGTAATGTTCTTTTCTTGTCTCTCGATCTTCTCAAGAACCTTCTCACTCTCTTTCACAACGGATTTTATCGCTTCCAACTCCGTGTTTGCTGCTGCTTGTTGAGGTATTGGGAAGAAGAAAGGTGGCTGCACTGCCATTGGGTTTGGTTTCTCTGCAGCATCGTGGTGTGTTTTTGCTTGATCTGCCTTGCTCTGTGGTGAGACTTTGGGTTTGATTCTCTTCGCCTTCCTCTTTGGTTGATCGTTGCCTTCAGCTAACTGTTTGATCAGCCCCGGACTGATATAAATCGAGAAATTGTCCATATTACCGAGTTGGAGAAACCTGGAAGGTGAGATTCCACATCAAGAAACACATGCACATAACTTAGTAAAACAACAGTATATCTTCAAAATCTTTTGCGAGTCACAATGTAAGCAAGCGCCAAATTCTCAACAAAGCTTCCTCATGTCGAGGATTTTTCAACAAGACTTGCATATATACCATTTTTGTTTTCTATCTGCTTCTATTGTCGTGTTTCAAGATCTTCAAACCGATGAAACAAAACATAGAAACCAAAAGCAAACAGACATGTAATCAAACACTAGCATCCTGTCATAGCACCACACGTTGATTCATCATTTCCTTTACTCTCATCTGAGGTAAGAAAGCTAAACGATTTTCGAATTGGCCACCAGAACAAAAAAACTTTCAAATACATGAGTGCCAAAAACCAAACATAAATGCATTCAAAATCTAAGCCAGGAAGAGTTTGGCCTATGCATATACAAAATGTAGCTTAAGATGAGTCTATGTGTTGCTTCAACAAGCTGTGGAACTAAAAGAAGCCAATACAGAAAGTGTTACTGAGAATGTTGAGCCTTATCAAATCTAGATTCGAAGATCTTATCAAAATGCCTGTTTCAAAAATATCCAGATATGAAAAGTTTTCATAGCAACTTCTCAAGATTCGAATTTCTTAATATTCCCGCAAGTGTGACTGCTTCAGAATCTATATTAGCGCATAAACTAAACTCAGAATCAACATTGATCACATCGATCCATACATAATCAACGGGTACTTCTTCGGAATTGGACACAGAACACAATGCTAAAGAACCCTAGAATCCTACACCACGCATCAGCAATTGAACCGAGAAAATCAAAATTGACATGCAAAACAAGGTTAAGCTGGTGAACGGAGACGGTACCTGGTAGGAGAAGACGATCAAGAAGGAATCGGCGATTCTCTCCTCGCTAGCAATCGTCAAAAGCTGTGAAAAACGAAGACGAGAAAGGAACTGCGACGCTGATTCGAAAAGGTCTGGGCCTAGTTGCATACATTTATTTGTTTTACTATATTTAGCCCAATTTGTTTAACTAGGCTTACCAGGCCTTTTGTATCTCCATTCATTTATTTTCGTTGAAAACATCTCCATACATTACAATAGAAAACAAAATTTATCAGATAATTATTATTTCGTCGACCAAAAAAAAAGATTATTATTATTTCTTTTTTTCTCGGTCATCGCATTTCTAGAGGAAATTTTCTCTAAATTTTTAGGAAAATAATTTTTACTTTTTTTTTACGTGTGGTATTTTGGAGTTTACTCTATAAGGGGGTATTATTCAATCAACAATTTAAAATGAATTTTCTATTTTATAATCTTCTAGATTTAAAAATTGATATCAGTTTGATTGATTCATTTGTTTAGATTCTAAAATCTCTGCAATATACACTGGATTTTGATTCTAATAATTTACTCATAAAACTCTATTAAAATTGATTTGAAATGACTTAATGTACAAAGATTTTAAAAATTATTTAGTTTTGAATAACACTAGATTTTAATGAAAGATTTGAAATCTTTATTGAATAACACCAAACTTTAAAACCTCTTAAATATGATTTACAATCAAAAGAACCAATAACACTTGATTTTAAAACATTATTTAGAATCATTAGTTGAATAATAGTGGATTGTGATTGGATTTAAATTCTATTAAAAACCGTGATTGAATAACACCACCTAAATTTATATGCATTTGCTTTCATTTCAAAAATCAAATTCTGTTAGTTCATTTTGATTCAGCTTTTGGATTGATTTTCTTTTACAGTTTCATAGTCAGCTTGGTCTGATTAATAAGAATTGTACATTTTTTATCCAAAAAATAATTGTCGTGTAATATTTTTATTTTTGAATATTAACGTTTGTACTAGGGCTGGAATTATTATCCGGTATCCGCTATCCGATCCGGTATCCGGTCCTATCCGATCCGTAAAAATCGGATATACGTGTAGTTCAGATCCGGATCCGGATAGTGAAATTAAGTATTCGGTTATTTCGGATACGGATCCGGATAATAGAAAATTTAGAAATCCGATATCCGTTATCCGTTATTAAGATTTTAAAAATTTTGAAATCTTTGGATATGCATTTAATTTTTTGTTTTAATTATGTTCGAAAATTGTTTTTGGTTTAACTCTTTTACACATGATTGAAATTTATATTGCATGATAATTTTCTATTTCAGATTGTGAGAGAAGAACATGAAAATAGATAATACAAGGATATGAAGATAAATTAACTTCTCTATTACTGTTTTCTCTTTTGTTATGTAAACTTTTAAACTTTGTGTTATTTGAATGCTACTTGAATGCTTTTAAATTTTTGGTATTTGTAATTTTTGCTATGATGATACATTTTAATTATATATGTTATCTCATTATAATTTTTAAAATTGAAGATTTTTTTTTTAAATCAACGAAACCGGATATCCGGTCGGATATCCGTAAATATTCGGTTCAAACCGGATATTCGGTCTCCGGATATCCAGAGTTTTCGGATCCGGATCCGGATAGTAAAATTGATTATCCGTTAAATCCGGAGCCGGATCCGGATACCTTGAAAAGTCCGGATATCCGGCTCCGTTCCAGCGCTAGTTTGTACTACTACTAACCATTAGTACGATTTACTCTTTTAGCAAAAGCCCTGATAAAATAGCAAGTCACACCATGAGGTGGCAAATATGAGAAATAAAAATATTGAGATCTATACGTATAAACTTGGTCGTACGTGTCGAATAGGCGTTCGTGTCTCTAATATTTCCGTATAGACAACATGCAAATATATATTACTATAACATAGCTTATTTGCTAATTAATCACACGTGTAAAACGTAAGACCACGAACAAAATGTTTGCTTCTTTTTGCGGCTTTGTCCTCGGCAACATCTAACAAACTCCGGCAACTTCAATTTCTTAGACAACGTTAGACTTCGAACATTATTTGTAAATTTTTTTAATTGTCAATAGTACTTAGTGTTGTGATTTGTCCCAACCTTGTCTCAGTTTTAAACACAGAAACAGATCGTATAACTTGAACTCTCAAACTCCCGATCACTCACCAAGAAGAAACGTATTGAACAAGAAAGAGAAAAGAAAACAGATACACAGCAAATTAACGAGTTCGGGTTTCGGAATAAGAACCCTACGTCTCGGCCTGGAACTCCAGCAATTCACTAATCTCTTTAGGATTACAAAGTTCTCTCTTTCTCTGCAGTTTTTAACTCAAAACCCTAACACCCGAGAAAGACCACACATGCTCTACTTATATACGCAGAGTTTATTACAAATTGATAAAGTCGGTGTATCTCTAACTAACCATAAACCGATGGGCTTAATTAAAACCAAGTAAACCCTTGACATAACCAGTCTGGTTTAAGCTATGTACCAAGTCTGATTTTCATCACTAAGTCCTAACAAACTCCACTTTGATGACAATCAGCTCCATAGCTCCTTTATCAATGCAAACATGTGCAACTCCAGGCGTCACTAAACCTTCTTAGTGTTTAGCAATCCTGAGAAAGCTTAAAGCTTCCTCAAACTTGTTAACCGGAACCACTTTTGTCAAAATGTCTGCAGGATTCTTTGAAGTCAGAATTTTCTGCAACTTGACCTTTCCTTGTGTAACAATATCTCTGATAAAGTGCAATTTCCTGCTAATGTGCTTAGTCCTTTCATGATGAACATTATTCTTGGCTAAGCACATGCACTTTGAGAATCACACCAGACCTCCACCGAATCTTGCTTGAATCCAAGTTCCTCAGCTAACCCTCTTAACCATATGCTCTCTTTGATCGCTTCAACAAGAGCCATATATTCTGCTTCAGTTGTAGACAAAGCTACCACATGCTGTAATCCCGATTTCCAGATAATAGTATTACCTCCAGCTGTAAACACATACCCTGTGATAGATCTTCTCCTGTCTAGATCAGAAGCAAAGTCTGAATCACAAAATCCTTCAATCTTAAACTCTTCATTCTTCTTGAAACCGAGCTTCAGATCTTGTGTTCCCTTTAAGTACCTAAGTACCCACTTGACTGCAGACCAATGCACCAAACCTGGCTTGCTCATGTATCTGCTTACAAGTCCAACTGCATATGCTAGATCACACCTTGTGCTAATCATAGCATACATGATGCTCCCTATAGCATTAGCATAAGGAACATTCTCCATCGCTGTCTCTTCTTCACCATCTTTAACTGCAGATAGTTTGAAATGGGCTCCGATTGGTGTTGCCACAGCCTTTGATTCACTCATGTTAAACACTTGTAGAACTTTCTTGATATACCCCGATTGAGACAAAGTCAGAGTGCCCTGCTTTCTATCTCGCTCAAATATCCATTCCCAAGATTTTCTTTGCTGCTCCCAAGTCCTTCATTTCAAACCTGCTGCTTAAAAGATCTTTCACTTTCTTAATCTCACTCATATCTTTTGCTGCCACCAACATATCATCTACCTAGAGCAGTAAGTAGATGTATGAATCTTCAGACACTTCCTTAAGATAAACACATTGATCATATTCACTTTTCTTGAACCCATGACCAATCATAAACTGATCAAAACACTTATTCCACTGCCTCACAGCTTGTTTTAATCCATAGAGTGACTTTTGAAGACGACAGACATACTTCTCTTTACCCTTAACCTTAAAACCTTATGCCTGTTCCATATAGATCTCTTCTTCTATATTTCCATGGAGAAACGCTGTTTTAACATCAAGCTGTTCTAGCTCTAAGTCCAGGTTCACTGTTATTACCAGTAATAGCCGTATTGACACATGCTTTACCACAGGTAAAAATACTTTGTTGTAGTCAATACCCTCTCTTTGTGAGTATCCCTTGGCAACTAATCTAGCCTTGTATCGAGGTTCTTCGACGCCAGGGATTCCAGGCTTCAATTTGAATACCCATTTACACCCTATGACCTTTTGTTTCTCAGGTCGTTTCACCAGATTCCAAGTATGATTCTTTGTTAAAAAATTCATCTCCTCATTCATTCCTCCATCCCACATATCTTTCTCTTTGCAGCTCATTGCTTCTTTGTAGTCTCTTGGTTCTTCTAGACTTATTTCTTCTGCAGCCACAAGAGCAAAAGCTGACATCTCAAAGTCATCATACCTGGATGGTACGACTATTTCTCTTCTAGGCCTGTCTCTGGCCAATTGATAGTTAGCAAGATCTTCTTCATGTTCTGACTCGGAGTCAGACACATACTCAATATCATCTTCAGTATCTCCACCTTCAGCCTTATTTCCTGCTTTTGGTCTTGAGAACATATCTGTTTCAAGAGCTACTCGTGTGTTGTCTCTAGTTTCTCCTGTTGAGACTTCACTCACTGTTTGCTCTTTCTTAAGATCTTTGTAAACTTGATCTTCCACAAACAATACATTCCGACTGAACAAAATGTTTGCTTCTTTTTGCGGCTTTGTCCTCGGCAACATCTAACAAAATCCGGCAACTTCAATTTCTTAGACAACGTTAGACTTCGAACATTATTTGTAAATTGTTTTAATTGTCAATAGTACTTGTGTTGTGATTTGTCCCAACCTTAGCTCAGTTTTAAACACGGAAACAGATCGTATAACTTGAACTCTCAAACTCCCGATCACTCACGAAGAAGAAACGTATTGAACAAGAAAGAGAAAAGAAAACAGAGACACAGCAAATTAACGAGTTCGGGTCTCGGAATAAGAACCCTACGTCTCGGCCTGGAGTTTTCCAGCAATCCACTAATCTCTTTAGGATTACAAAGTTCTCTCTTTCTCTTTTTTAACTCAAAACCCTAACACCCGAGAAAGACCACACATGCTCTACTTATATACGCAGAGTTTATTACAAATTGATAAAGTCGGTGTATCTCTAACTAACCATAAACCGATGGGCTTAATTAAAACCAAGTAAACCCAAATTGACATAACCAGTCTGGTTTAAGCTATGTACCAAGTCTGATTTTCATCACTAAGTCCTAACACTTAGGAACCCAATAA